GAAGAGACAACCTTCAGAATGGGATAAAATATTTGCAAACTATGCATCTGACAGAAGTTTATATCCAGAATATTCAAAGTACTCAAATAACTGAACAGTAAGAAAACAATTAACCCAACTAAAAAATGGGCAAAGGAGCTGAATAGACATTTCTCATGTGAAGATATACAAATGGCAACAGACACATGCAAAACTGCTCAACATCACTCAACATCAAGGAAATGCATATCAAAGCCACACCGAGTTATCATCTCACTTCAGTTAGAATGGCTATTATCACAAAGACAAAAATTAACAAATGCTGGCAAGGATGTGAAGAAAGAGGAACCCTTCTACACTGTTGGTGGGACTGTAAATTAGTGCAGCCATTATGGAAAAGAGTATGGAGGTTCCTCAAACAACTACATGTAGAATTGCCATAAGATCCAGCAATCCCACTGCTGGGTATATACACAAAGGAATAGAAATCATCATGTTGAAGGGATAACTGCACTGCATGTTTATTGCAGCTCTATTTACAGTAGCCAAAAGTTGGAATCAACCTAAATGTCCATCGATGGACAACCGGATAAGGACAATATGTACTCAATAGAATACTACTCTTCCATAAAATAGAATGAAATTCTGCCATTCAGAGCAATGTGGATGAATTTAGAGAAAATTATGTTAAGTGAAATAAGCCAGGCACAGAAAGAGAAATACCACATATCCTCACTAATAAGTGGGAAAAAGAGAAAGAAGAAAGAAACAAAGAAACAAAGAAAGAAAGGAAGGAAGGAAGGAAGGAAGGATGAGTGAATCACAGCAATAAATTGAACTTTCAGAAAATAAGAGACCAGAACTGGGGTTATAAAGAGGTGGGAGAGGGGGAGTTGGAAGGGGGTTAGCAAGAAATTAGTTAAGGGTCAAAAAATCGATTCCGTTTTGTAAACATGAGTATACTAATTATACTGATTTGATCACCACATATTGTATCCATGTATTGATATTCAAATCTGTACCACACAAATATATATAATCAATTAAATAAAGTTCCATAGCCTAAATAAATAAATAAAGGAAAACATAGGGGAAACATTTCAGGAAGTATGACTAGGCAAAGACTTTATGAATAAGATTCCAAAAGCACAGGCAACAAAAGAAAAACTAAATAAGTGTGATTATATCAAACTAAAAAGCTTTTGCACAGCAAAGGAAATAATCAACAGAGTGAAAAGATAACGTACAGAGTGGGAGAAAATATTTGCAAACTATATGTCCAACAAGGGATTAATATACAAAATATACAAGGAACTCAAACAACTACATGGTAAACAAACAAACAAAAAAAAACCAATTTAAAAATGTGCAGTGGCTGAATAGACATTTTTTGAAAGAAGACATACAAATGGCCAACAGGTACTTGAAAAAATGCTCAACATCACTAATCATCAGCGAAATGCCAATCAAAATGACACTGAGATATCATCCCATCCCTGTTAGAGTGACTATAAGAAAAAAGGCTGAGAATAACAAATGATGGCAAGGATGTGGAGAAAGAGGAACTATTTTACACTGTTGTTGGGACTGTAAATTAGCATAGTCACTATGAAAAACAGCATGGAAGTTTCTCAAGCAACTACCATATGATCCAGCAATCTCACTCCTAAGCATATACTCATAGGGATGGAAATTATCATGTCATAGAGATAGCCAAGATATGGAACCAGCCTAAATGTCCATCGATGAACGACTGAATAAGGAAAATGTGGTATATATACACAATGAATACTACCCAGCTGTAAAAAAGAATGAAATTCTGCCATTCACAGCAACATGGATGAGCTTGGAGAAGATTATGTTAAGTGAAATAAGCCAGGCATAGAGGAAAAAATACAGCATGTCCTCACTCATAAGTGCAAGCTAAGAGAGAAAGAATGAAGGAAAGAAATACCACAGTGGTGCATTGGATTTCCAGAGGGAGAGAACAAACCTAGGGCTGCCTCTGGTGGAGGGAGGGATGGAGAGAGATGTTGGGGAGAGACTGAGTGGGGGAATCCTTCTCAGACCTGCTGGTTCAGCCTAATGAACTCCCTTGGGCAGCTTGTGGGGGAT